CGGGACTCTAACACCAGTCTAAGTCTCTTTCTCATACAGTGCTGTGTATTTCTATGACTCACGGAAAGAAATCATCATCCTTTGTGGGCAAACGTGTAGTCGATGACTCTGTGAGGCCTTTCACATAGCATGATGGAGTGGAATAGAACACGTGTAGACCGTGGGTGGCCTGAATGCAGGTGCCGTACTGTTTTTGTTAAGTATTGCTGTAGCAGGTGTCAGAAAGCGGAACATTCCTCACATTCCCGTTCACATGTTGTATCAGCTTGTCCAGATTCGTGTACCATGTGTTGGCGTCTGTATATTGGAAGTCACTTCCCATCAATAGCATTACGTGAGATGAACGAAGGAATGACGACTGAACTAATTTCTTCAGACAATGCATGATCAGAATGAGCTTACATTAGCAACTAGCCTGGTTCTTTACATGCGTCACAAAAGCGCTTATTTTCTCGTCCAGATTGTAGCCTTCGAGGTCAGGATTGTCCATGATCGGATCATCTCCGCACAAGAGCGTCAAAACAGAAACCTTTCGGTGGTCCATAGTCGTCTTGGAAAAAGGAGCCGCCCAAAATCTGCGTCTCTGAAATAATTGAAATCGTGCTAAAACTGGTAAGGAGGGATACTTAATCAAAACCTTACTTAGATCATCAGAGGTGTTCCAAATAAACTCCAGACTCTTGTTTTTTAATCGAGCCTCTTTTTCTAAATAGTGCTGACGGGCGAAGAACACTGAGGTGTAGCCCATCTGAATACAAAAGATTAACTGCGCGATTGCAAAGGAACAATGAAATTAGTATGAAAATTGATATCTCAAAGGCACATTTTGCGGCTGCGGAAGCGGGTAATGGGGTTGAAAAATAAAGCGTGAGGCTGGTGTCAGAGTCCGCGATCCGTCGCAGGTTTCGCGCGAATCGCAAATCGCAAGTGCCCCATTTGAACATTTGAAACACTGAATATGAAACAAGTAGAATCATGAACAGTCGTCATTCAGCCATCACCATCAAGCAGAAATGGCGGCGGGATTGGAGAGCACCTTGCAGTATTGATCGGGCACTTGTGATTTCTGTGACCGTCGCGCGAATCGCGCGAAATCTGCGACGGATCGCGGACTCTGACGCCAGACTAAAGTTCTAGTTGATTTGCCAGCGAAGAAAAAGGATGACAGTCGACTGAAGAGTCTCCCTTCTCCAGACGGCTGGCAATTCTATCAGGTAGACGACTCAAACAGTTTAGAAAACACTGGGAGCTGATATGAGAGCGCAGAAGAGCGAGACAAGTAAGTACACTTACTGCATATCAGTAGAGACTATATTATATTTCGACGGTGAACATGCAAGGTTGCTGGAGGTGTCTATGGTCGTAAGCCCTAAGCCTGACACCCATGTCACGCATTTTGTTACGGGTAAGGGCTTTACGTATGCGGGCCATTTGCAGAACTCCAGTGACTCTATAGGGTGAATGAAAAGTAAAGTACGCCACATTTTGAGTGTAACTTCAAGATGGAAACTTTTTCACTAAGTAATCCCACCAAGAAATAGAGTTCAGCTTCGTGACGACTAGGAACAGGGTGCTCTACTGCTGTCCAAAGATTTTGCTTCGACACGACCCTGTGACGTCCAACGACAGAGTCGGCACTGCGCATCCACCGAGCGGTAGCAGTGGTTTGTGATCTTGCTCTCAGGGAGTTCCACGCAGAGAAGTCCATCACGTTCAAGGTCAGGAAGAAATAAAGCCACAACTTCTTGCCCCAGAGGCCGGGAAGTGGGCGTCCAGAGCGACTATGATCGACTTGGGGACTTAGTCATAAGCTAAAATCCACTGAGGGCAAACGTTTGTTGCGAGGATTACCAAGCTTTAGAAGTATGTTTTCCACATTCACATAACCTTCAACTGGACCTTCAAGTTGATGTGGAGAGAAGCACCAATGGAGTTCCACTTTTGAATGTTATCGGGCCCAAACTGTCACACTTTCCAGAAAAAGACTGTTTGAATCGAGGTGTCTGGGAGAGTTGGTCCCAGTTTTTGACAAAAACTAATCTTGACCGCCGCGAAAAGTTTGACCTGTTTGGCCCTGGCGGTGGAGATTGCTACTACCAACTTCAATTCCGCGACAGCAAATTTTTCTCACCGAAAATAGTTCAGGAGTGCTGCCACAGAAGGGTGTAGTTAAATGGAACGAAGGGAGCTTCAAGGTAGTAAGTGAAAGTGTTACTGTGGGTGATGACAGTAGGGCAGTGGCTTCTCTCTTCTGACTGCCATTTATCCTAACTCACGAATTCTATTAGGGAATGCTCCATCATCGTACAACCCTCTTTCAAGAAAATATCACATGATTTTGGGACTTGAGAGCTATTTTCACACTGTCATCACTGACGCCATGGGAGTGACCGTGCAGCACAAATCAGAACTAGATTTTAACCACACGGAGAAAGTAAACGTCAGACTGCGAATCGAGCGATTCGCTGGCTTCCGCGGTCGCGTTATGATAACAGCCAAGCGAGCGATTCGCCGGCCGCGACGCGACGGCGCGACCAGCAAAGCCTGACATCGGCCTAGAGATGAAAAAAGCTTCTTGGAAAGATTAAGAACGAGAAACCGCACAATGAGCGGAT